TTTCATATTCTCGAAACCGTATAAACCTTGAATTAATCTTAAACTTCTTTAACAATGGGAACTAATTAAAATATGCACGTATCTACGACAAATCAGACACATTTTCTTCCATAAAATGCGAAGATCCTAAAGCAAAAAGCTTAAAAGCCAGTGTAAAAAGGGCTTACAGACAGTGAGAAAAGTCAAAGTGCAAAAAGTGCTCGCAAATTCTAAGTTTTAAAACATTTAAGTAAAATGCTGGTCAGTTGAAAGTATTTCTTCCGATCCAGTGCCAACTTGAGGGTGTATTGAGTGTTATTATGGGGAAAATTATGGGAAATATAAATACAAGACAATGTCTACATTCTACCTATATTGCTTATTTAGTCACCAAAATCGAATATTTATTCAGAGCCGGCACGGGGTCGTTGGCCTTCACAGCTGACTCGCGTTTTGAACTGAGCTTTTGGTTTCAGTTATTTACGGAACCTTGAAGTAGTTGGTGTCGCGTCGATACCTTTCTTTTTACATCTGCTGTACATTTTATTATCCGTGTGTATTTAAATAACTATTTATAAATAGTAACAATTAATACAATTTATATCAAGGATGATGTACAAAAAATATATACGATGCTAATAATATGCGGCCAGTATGATAAAAGAAAAAATGCAAAGAGTGTTGGAAAAAAATCCGGGATACACCATTTTGAAAAGCATATGTATAATTTCATCTGGTACATATCAGGAGTTACCAGCAAATATATTTATATATAGTATGCCTCAACGATTTCTCAAACTGTCCGTTGTCAACAGTAGACGCTGAACGGTCATTTTCCCTACACAAGTTAACATTAAGTTATAAACGTCGCCATTTTACTACAGAAAACTTAGTAGTGGTAATATGTTTTAACTTCTTCCAATATGCCACGGAAGCCTTGTCTCAACACTAAAGTTTATCGGGTAAGTGGCATTATTATCTTAAATTGTATCATCTACTTAGCCTTGCTCTTTGGTAATAGTACTATGTTTACAATATTTCCATTCGTAATCTGACTACGGTCCTGTTAAATTCCTCGCTCCACTAAGCCTAAGTAATTACTTATTTAAAATATATTCCTCTATCTTAACTTTTTGTTGTGCTTACTCTGCACATCATTATTATCTTTGAAACCATGTAACTCCATAATGACAGACTTGGCGTAATAAGAAAAGAGGTAATTTTTTTATTAAAAATATCCAAGTTTTCATAATCCAGCAGAAAATTATTTTCTTCTGCAAAAGTTGCAAGATGAAATAGGTTAAAAATCTGCTTTATATTTACGCCAGTGATTATTATTTACTAGTAAACTTATAAAAAGGTTTAGTTTAATGGCATTCTTATGACTAATAAAAAAAAAGAAATTTTCTTTAGTTTGCTATTTTCTAAAATCATTTTATTTTTTACTGTATCTTCCTCTGATTTTAGTACACCTATTGTAAATCACCGTGTACTTTTAAATAGCTATAAATTATCCAACTTACATTCCACAGAATAATCAAATAAATCATAAACTGTAATGCATAGTACATTAATATTTAATATCTCGTAATGATGGGGTGGTTTTATTTACAGCATTCATAATATATAATACACCAAAGGTATTTAGTTTTATGTAAAACGGTCGACATTTCTAATATAGAAAAAATACCATTCTTAGAAATCAAATGGTTTCAACAATAATAAATAGAGTAATAGGTAAATACATTATTTGTGTTTAATAAATCAGTAAGAATTTTGGAAGTTTTCAGATTTATGAAACAATACTATTTTATATGTATTGTGTTATTACTTAGATTAAAAAAAAATACTTGTAATAAATCTTAGGTATTAAAAGCTGAAATGTACACATGAAATATTATATGAAAATATGTTTCAGAATTTATATGAACACGCAAGTTTCGGTAAGAAATTTTAACATACTTTAGTAGTTGATAATTTGCAAATATAAGAATAACAGCCACTTTTTTTATATATCTGATATGCTTTTGTCGTGGATCCTTTTATAGCTACTATAAAAATTTTGAAAATTATACTTACCCACAGTAAAAATTACAAAGGAAAAATAATATGAAGAATAATAATTGATAAATATAGACAAGACAAGCTATAGGAACCAAATTATATTCCAGTCAAAAGTGTTATAATGAAAAAGAGACGTACGGAATTTGATAAACCAGTAGAGAAAATTATACTGGGGCAAAGGATGGCGTCCAGCACGTTTCACGTAGCGATGAAGTCTTCAATACAACTTGCGCAGTGGCTCAGCTTTTTTCCAATAGATGTCAAAGTAAAAACTGAAAAAGATTTAAAATTCAAATGGTTGCACTGGAGAGTTTTCTATTCCATGTTCACTTTTGTCTTATTTGTATTTGAATTTGTTCTGCAAATTTACCAACATTATATGTCAAGTAATGAACAGACCGACATGAATTATGCAGGTACGTACAACATAAAATTTTGCGTGTCTACGTTCACAATATTCTCTTTTCAGCTGTGATAGTCTTCTTTCTAGGAGCTATCGTACAGTACATACTGTTTTTTAAATTCACAAAGGAATATCCGGACTTTGTTAAAGAATGGAAGAGAGTGGAAGATCGGATGAGGCATTATAAAATATTTTGTAATTTACGAGTCAATTTGAATTGTATTACTGCATCGATTATGTTGATAGCTGCAGGTAAATTAACAAAAACAGATGTCCAGTGAACGTCGATATAAATAGACGTCAGTTTATGGCTTCAAGTATATTTTGTAATTTGTTTTACAACTTTGCTTATCAGCAAACTATTGACACTATTAATTCATAATAATTTTCTACTGCTGTTTATTTTGGAAATTGATTAATTCTGGTTGGTATTTTAAAGAAAAATAAAACGAGCCATTTTTGAGTAATTATTTTTAAAACTTAAATTAAGCCTTCGGTAATTTTAAATTCTACAGTGAAACTATAAAGGGTTAGATATACAGGGTGAATCACAAATGGTGATCAAAAATGAAACCTCGTATTTTTTGGTGAATTTTAAGGGGAGTCTTTCCTATAAAGTTTTTATCTAGGACGTTTCGTTAAAAAGATATAGGGTGTGAAATTTCAAAAATTATTTTTCATTTTTTTAAATAATTAAAAAACTAGTGAGTGAAATAATTTGGGCACACGTATTTATGTAAACAATGTCCAAAATCTGAGTTTTTTTTCTAAAATGTACATATGCCACATGCTTTCGGATGCGTCTTTCAATTTTCTACAAATTACTATTCTTTTATGCTTTTCGAAAAAAGCCTGATTTTCGAGTAAAACTTAAAAAACGAACTGAAAACACTTTTACTTAAATGACATGACAAACACTAATTATTCGGTTATTTAATCGAATAAAGAAATTAATAACATTAGTCATCATTTTAATGATTTTATTGGAGTAAATCTGATGCATTTTTCTAAAATTTAGATGGCGGAGATACAGGGTATCTGGCACATTTTTCTAAATGAAATAATACGCCACTGCTTTACGGTAACAACCATGATGTTTTTGGATTCATCTTTCAATTTTCTACACATTACTACTCTTATGTTTTTCGAAAAAAGCCTGATTTTCGAGTAAAGCTAAAAACGAACTGAAAACACCGAACCTCAACCTACTGGATTTCTTTTTGATGCGTGCTGTTAAATTAATACACTTGAGCAGTTTGAAGAAAGAATAAATAATACTTTTCATCAGAATCAAGCAACAATAAATTTCGAACAAATTACATTTTCGTTACTAAAAAGATGTCGCGTGTTTTTGTGGAAATGGAGGTATTTTTGAGCATTTATTCAAATAAAATCATTAAAATGATGACTAATGTCATTAATTTCTTTATTCGATTAAATAACCAAATAATTAGTATTTGTCATGTAATTTAAGTAGTGTTTTCAGTTCGTTTTTTAAGTTTTACTTGAAAGTCTGATGGCTTTTTTTGGAAAACCATAAGAGAGTAGTAATTTGTAGAAAATTGAAAGACGCATCCGAAAGCATGGAGCATGTAAATAGGGAAAGCCTTCAGATTTTGGACAATGTTTATATAAATAAATACATGTGCCCAATTTCAAATTATTTCACTCAATAGTTTTTAAATTATTTAAAAAAATTAAAAATAGTTTTTGAAATTTAACACCCTGTATCTTTTTTACGAAGCGTCCTAGATAAAAACTTTATAGGAAAGACTTCCCTTAAAATTCACCATACGAGGTTTCATTTTTGGTCACCATTTGTGAATCACCCTGTATATAGAAATTATTGACATTGTAATTTTATCCCTTAAAAAATTAAAAATTTCTCCGGCACTGATTTTTTTGACTTTTCATAAATATTTTCTTTTTAAAATTCAATTAACACAATTTTTCTTTCTGAATCTTATAGTTCTGGAGTTATTTTCGATTTATTCAAAACTGTGTCAAAAGCTTTATTGCACTTTTAAAAAAATAATTACTCAATAATGTCTTTTTTCGAAGAAAATTAAATACGTCTTTTTTCTATACCAACCGAAATTAAATGCACTTATTTAATTTCCAAAACATTAATTGAAATATTAGGTTCCTTAAAAACGGTATCTTTATTTAAGCATCTCCGTCACTGGTTTGCAGATTTGTGTACCAATTCTGTAATTTTTTGTCCATAATTAATTAAGTCATTACCTCAAATTTTAACAGTCTGCCAAATATTTTAAGAGGCATTTAATTAATATGATTTGATATTTTTTTAAATTTCAACATTTGTATTAACATTTTTTTTTATTTTGGGGTGTTCTACCAAAACGCGTATGCCTGTGTCATTCGGGACAATATATATTTTTTTTATTAACTACTCGTAATATAGATACAACTCAATTAAGAAAAATGAAAACTCATAACTCAAATTTTGTTTCTAGTGGAACATACTTTAGTAAATGCTTACAAGCTTTTGAAATGCTTAAGGAGATATCCTTTAATATACGATGCCGTTAAAATGTATTTCGTAAGGAGTTATAGTCATATATTTACCCTTATCGAATATTCTCTGTGGAAAGGATTACTTGCTCAAGTAAGTTACATTACAGTTTACTTAAAATCAATACTTTCAGTCTACCTACACTTATTTGATGGTATCTACCTATATAATTCCAAAAAAACATGCAGGATACAAATGTATACCTACCTACTTTAATTAATTACCATCCCAAGTTATATTTTTTATTTATTAAATCTTCAGTTTGTGAACTTACAAAGAACGTTCAACTGGAACTTCGCTGATGTTTTTGTTATGTTAATAAGTATGGCTTTTAAATTTAGATTGAAGCAGATGACTAACAGAGTCAAAGCTCTGTCCCGTATACAGGTGGGTAGAAAAGTTTAAGTTATCTAAGCTATTAATCACATTATTTTGGGAATTATTATTTTTTATTTTTGAGGTCATGGATGTTAACTTATTTAGATCTGTAAGGAGAGATTATGAAAAACTGTCGGATCTTTGTAGTACGATTAACAAAAGGATTTCCTTGATAGTCATTGTATGTTTCTCTCTAAATATGTTTTTTATTTTGTTGCAACTATTCAACAGTTTAAAAAAAATTGACAACACTACTGAAAAAGTGTACTTCTACATGTCTTTTGGATTGATTCTGTTGCGCGCTACGTGCCTGTGCATTTTGGGAGGCGAAATGTATGAAGAATGGAAAAATATTGCAATCTATTTGTTCTCTATTCAGTCATCCGCTTATAATATGGAGGTGTGTAAATTTTGTTTTTTTTTTTACTTTTATGGACATAGGTATTTAGAGTTAGAATTGAAAAAAAAAACACGCATTGTTTATATACCTAACAGCAATATCATCTTGGAGTTTTTCTTTCAGAATTTAGAAACTGGAAACATTTTATATCTCAAATATTGTATATTTTATGATTCTGCTCAGCTTAGACTTTAGTATGTTCCAAATTAAAATAATTTTATCAATTTATTTTTTTAGGCCGAACGATTTATTACGGAGGTTATTTCAAATAAATTAGTTCTTTCAGGAAAGAACTTCTTCCATGTCACAAGAAATCTAATTCTACAGGTAAATTAAAAAACGTTACTGATTTGCTATTTTATAAATTACAATTTGTAGATTGCTGGAGCCACTGTAACGTATGAGTTAGTATTAATACAATTTTATTCTGAAGCTTTACTGCAAGTAAATTACTAATTATGCTCTACTTCTTTATTAATTTGACATCCTGTTGATTGTCGTTTTCAAGAGTTCTACATATAAACTTATTATTAGCATTATTCTGTTTGGAAAAATTAACTCTACTTGAACATACTATTCTCAGGAAATTATTTTAAATCTGAACACACTCCCCATGGAGACTACACTACACAATATACTGTGGTCTATGGTACTATGGTCTATGCGTTTATGACAATTCCACAGCTAAAGTAGAATATAGGTTATGTTTAAGTAAATATTTTTAGAAAATGTTTAAAAAAAATACTGTTCCGCAAAGAAAACCACTTAGTATTCCCAGGGAGGATTTGATTGAAGATATTGGAATTCTTAGGCAATGTGAAGACCAACAGAACAAGCTATTTTGGTGTTTGGATGAAAAGCCTCCACAAGAAAACAAGTTTTCTCAATTAGAGCAGTTCCTTAAAGGCACTAACAATTTGGAGGATATATCTAATACTTTAACTAATTTGCTTGAAGAAATAAATCACTTAAAAGAAGAAATTGGTAAGAACATCAATGATGTCAAAAATAAAGCCAGTAGCATCAATTTGGAACATGAAGTAAATGAACATAGGTAGTGTACATTTTTATATTTTGGTTTCTGCTAGCTAATAAAAGTTTAGGTTTTAAAAAACATATTGATCATACTTTTAAACCGTTCCAAATACAATGGTTTTAATCTAAATTAATCAGTCTTATCCAAGTAACTAGACTAATATATACTATTTGTTTATTTTTATATTAGGGTAGAAATAAAAATGTTTCAACGCTTATTTAAAAATGTAATATATATTTGCATTTTCTTGTGTATAACGTGAAGAATATTTGTTGCCGTTTCTATTGTAATAAACGTTTGTTATATATAATACAATTTGGTAAATGTAAGATACTTAAAATCTTCTAAATCATGTGTTGTTAAGTTAGTATAATTAAATTATTGGAATATATTGTGTAATTATTTTGTTAGTTTTATATTTATTTTAGTACAGTTCCTATTTATACTAAATAGGGATGCTTGAAGTTGAATCTAACTGAACATTTCTATCAGACATGTAGAAACAAATCATACAGGGATGTCCTGAAATGAAAAACAGATATTAATAACAGTAAAAAAAAAATGTCGATCCTATTAATTTACGTACCTTTACACCTACAAAGATTGCATGTTCAACTGAAAATAATGTAGTTACTGTACATACATTTAGCATATTTATACCCAAAAGCAACTACTAAAGAGGGCACCGGATAAAATTTTTAGTACTGCAGGGAATTCAGTGGAAACACTACATGTTTAAAAAAATAAGAGAAATGAAAAATATATACATATAATCATTAGGAAAGCAGTTTTATTTTATTTATTGTAATTATGTGTATAAGGAACTTGAGAAAAAAATGATAAGAAACAGTTCTGTTAGATCAGTTATATACAGTGTTGCAATATTTTACCGATAAAACTATAGGTGATTCTCTGACTACAAATGAGAAACATACTTCATATAGTGAATCACATAGAACTAGGACTGAATTAATTTTGAAGGATTTACAATAGATGCTGTAATTATGCTACATCGCATCAGACACTTCTGTAACTAAATTCATGTCAAAGCTCTGTTATTCGGCTTTACTTTTTATTATGTCATTTTGCCGAAGTGTAAACAACACATTTTTTCTCAGCTCTGAAGATGTTGCCCAATTACAAACCAATAAAACACCATTTGCGGAAAGTTTTACTTTTCCTGTTTAATTAAAAAAAAAAGTGCTGTTGGAAGCTTACAGTGAATATACTCCATCGATAAAAACTTGAGTATTGATTTCGGCATTTTAGAAACAATAATTTAGAAACAGTTGGCAAAGAACACCCTGGTCAATGGAAAAAGTTCGAAGATGAGGAATTGGAAGCATTAGGTACTTGACCAAGATTCATGTCAAATGCAAGATGAACTTGCTGAATCGTTGAATGTTACCCGTAATTTGAGCAAAGGCACGATAAAAATAAAGTAATTTCTCAACATGACGACACTTGACTACATGTTGTTCATGAAGTCAAAAAATACTTAGAAATTCTGAAATGTAATATTTTACCCCACCCACCATATTCACCAGATATTACTCCTTGAATCACTACTTGTTCCGATACATGGAACACGGTCTGGCTAAGCAGCGCTTCCAATCTTACGAAGATAGGAAAAATTTAATAGGTTGGTGCATAGCATCAAAAGATGAGTTGTTCTTTTAACCCAGAATCCGTATGCAGACAGAAAAAAGTGAAAAAGTAGTGACTGAAAAAAAAAAATCCTCAAAATTAATTCACAATCCTAATATTTTCTTGATTCCATTTATTTTATGTTTTTCCTGATACAAAATTAGTTCTAATAGTCCTATTCTATATAATTTTTTACCTATTTTTGGCGGAAAATCACCCGCGCTTGTATTTTTTCAATTATTTATTACAGGAAATAATAGGAATCACCTTTTATATTAAATTTTCTAAATATCTTTAAAAAAATGAGGTACATTAAATATAAAGCATTTTTTAATAGTTGTCATAGGAAAATTGTTAAAAGCAAAGTGTGTAATAGTTTCCAATGCGGGTGATTAAAAATAGCAAGCTTACATAAAATTGGAGATAAACAAACACCTAGTGGATGTATAATTTTTATTATTATAAAATAATACACATTATAATACTAACACAGTTTCTGGACGGATTAAGTTTTTTTTTAAGTACATGTAATGATTAAGTACAATAACTATAATTATAATCAAGTATTTTATACTCAACATATCAATATTACCATGTCAGTTTAATTTAAGGAACAATTGCATTACTATTCAATTCGAGGAAACAATTTTCAAAACAATAAAACGTCTATTTACATTATTAGGAAGTTGTTAATAACGAACACTTAAGGCTTTTATGTTTTATAAAATTTAGAATAGTAGGTTTATAAAGTTTATAATTTTGTCAAACATCTCTATTTCACATTTTTATATCCCAGTTTATTCTCTCTAACATTGACTGCAACTAAGAAAGTCATAATTAGACTCCAGATATCGTGTCCAATGTGCCAGAGATGGACTTTTAATTTATTAAAAATGACATATTAATAAAAAGTAAAACATGGTCTTTTGTATTAATCTTGTAAGTAGCCATAAATAATTTTATATATATTTTTGCTAAATACCGTAGCCTAAAAATTTATTGTAATGTCATGGCATCCATGACACAAATTCACTCGGCAAAAATTCTAACCTGCAGCTGAAATAAACCGATACAGTCTGGGTTTGACCAAATAGTGACTCAGTCACCTTAGCTACCATGACTCCTCACTATCACTAGTATTAAATTACTTTGTTATTGTTCGATTACATTTGAAATATTTCAGACAGATAAGCATAAGTAAAAACCGAGTATTTTTTGCAAAACCATCACTTGAGAAAGAATATAAGATGTGAGCGAGTTTTCAGAATTGTTACACAAACAGAAATGACCTTGTCAATCTGCAGTTTAATTTTATATGCTGGGAATAATCGTTACTCATTACAATTCAAACTTAATAAGCATTTAGAAAATAAACTACTCATTTGTTTCTAAGAAATCATTCATTTGTAGATAAAATAATTGCTTAACCTTTACATGTGACTGATTATAAGCAGTTTCTGTTACTTAGGATACGTTGAACATGATATCCAAGGCAGTCACGTTAAAATAATATACAACAGAGAAAAACCCACGGAAATTATACAGATAATCAAGGACTAGGAAGAAAACTTCGTTTCCATTTTTGTTACAATGAATTGAATGATAGTGAACAACGTATAAGAACGAAACTGAGAATGCGGAATAAAGAGGAATGTTCCTGCTAAGCTTGAAATTTGCTATGAATGAAATAATAAGGATACTATCCACTACAAATGTACAAAGCCTTCATAAATGATTACAAGCCATGTGATCAGAAATTTGTTTGAACAGTAATTTTATTTCCTTCACGTTGGCAATTAAATTTCGGTAAAATTAAAACGATAAGATCAAGATTACATTAAAATACAATATTTTGTTTCATCAGATGTGATTGGTGTAATTTTTTACGAAATTCTATTCAACCAATCAGCAATCACATTATTTCAAGCGTAGACATAACGATTTGTCATTGGTCATTGTAAACGAATCAATAATATTGGTGATGCCAAGATTTAGGAATTTTTAGTTGACAATGCAATGTTGGGTTGCCTTATGAAGACCCTTGAATGGACTGCTGGTATCTGTCTACGTACTTGTCATTCCCCCACTTCTCATTGTTGGGTATTTTCCATATGTCACATTCATTTTAGTCTGTACATTTGTAATGTTTCATTATTTCAATGTACTACCACATTCTTGATTTCGTTCAATATTATGTGCTGTTTTGATAATGAAAATTAAAAGAATAGTTTTTAATTTTATTTAAAAATGTTCAGTCCTTGAATTTTCTCGTATATAATTTAAAATATAACTTTTTGATTAAAGTTTTAAATATACGATATCGTGATAAATTTAGTAGACGAAAAACACACTTCACTGACTTAGAAGCACCCTATGTTTATCAATTATTGTTAATCATTTATGTTCAATTTTCTCGACAATGAAATTGTAATTCGCCATGACTTTGATAACTTTGAAACCACTGCAACTACAGGGTGATTCACAACTTATCCAAAAAAATATGGGGGGAATAGAAGCATCATGAGAAATGGAGTCAATATGTTAAAAAAATTTTTTGTAAAATCCTTAGTTTCCGAGGAAAAAATTATTGAAGTTGTAGTGCATTCAACCATTACATAGCTGGACAATTGTAGTCCCTAGTGTCACTCGCAATACGTGTGGAGAGCCAAGTGGCCTCAGCGACTCCGAATACTGAAATCCGATTTTACAATCTAATCGTCGTTGAGTTAGTGTCTACCTGTTATCTGTGGTGTTTACAATAGTTTTTTAGTAGTTAGTGTCAAAAAGATGGAACCAAATGTGTTTACACATCGCATCGGTGGATAAAATTTTGATACAGTTGTAACATTAGGATGTCAAATTATTTTATGATTTAGAACCACAAATTAATTTTATAAATTAATAGTAACAGTAACGGCAAAAGCAGTTGAGTTTGTTGATATAAAATAGGTGCTATAAAATTCTATTTATTTCTTTCCTTGCGAAATTCTTTTGAATTTTTGTCCGTATTTATCATACTGCAGCCATGCCGGTCGCATTGTGCGGTTAGCTTTTACAGTGGACCAGTTTCCAGTGCCGTGCAGAAGTGTATTTTTAAATCATTTTCGAACTGCCCTTTTTAATTTTTTTTACAAAATTGTATTTGTAAGAGTCCCCGTACACATGTACATGTACAAATTTTTTTTTGAATAAGTTTTAAATCACCCTGTACTATTAATAATTGCCCTATTGATTCATTAAGTCTAAAAAACCCCATTCACAGTGCAGTTTATTGAACGGTAATATATTACTTCGATATGGCGTCTTTTTTTTACTGAATCTTTACAACGGCCCTACATATTCGATTGCTCTGTCGATAAAAATAGAGTATATTTTTCTAGCTTCAACGTTTACTAATTACTCACAAAAGCAATAAATAGCTGCCAGAAATGATCACACACTGTCAATGAATTGAAAACCATTGCAGCGATTTTAAACATATTACTCAACGCCTTCGATAAGTTGCACTGTGGATAATTTATTCATCAAATATGATATTATTTTATACACTGATCCATTGCCTTTTTTAAAGTTTACCATTTGTCAGCAGATGATAATATAAGGTATCAACATCAAATACATTAAACAAATTTAGGTTGGAATTTTTTAATAGTATAATAGGCCAATAAGGTACTATACAGGGTGTATCACGGAGAGGGCCCAGTTTAAAGTAAATTTAATTCTGCATCCATTAATGTAATATACAGCACCAACTTGAATACTGTTACATTTTGGCCTATAGTACTATAACTACTATACTATACTATAAAAAATGCATAAATATACATAGTGTTCCATTTGAAATAACAGATTGATGACGACTTCCGGTATAACCGGAAGTGCGAGAAGGTTGACACTATTTTCATTGAATAGATCTTTTTGATAAACCCCTGTATACAAACTTTCAGATTTCAATTCTTATTACTTTTTGAGATAATCCTACTGGTCCTCTTCGTGGTACACCCTGTATATGTAAAATGCATAATGTAGAAAGGCTATTCCAGCGGACCAAAATACGGCTCAACAGTGGTTGAAGTCTTCAACCAATTATTGAACTGGTGATCATATAGTTCAATACAATTAGTCATTGTTATGATCAGCTTCAGAAAACTGTCCACTTTTCTTTCATTTCGTAAACTATAGAAAATTAGTATAGCAATTTCAAAGTTATACATCTCTAAAACGGTCAACATTAAAGGGTGTTTGGAGGGAAGTAAGTGTATTCTATCTCCCATTAAAATTGACACTTTAAAACCTAGGATTTTAAACTTTAAACAATAAATACACACAGAACACGTCACACTCAAATATTTTTAGGAACAATTTTGTTGTTCCTATTATGTTTCCAATAAATTTCCAATTGGATTTAATTTTTTTTGTTTTGTCTACGCAATTTATTTTGCTAATTACAAGTTACGATTTTGTGCTACCATTCTAGCTGCCTATTTTATAATACGAAAATGGTGTAGATAAAGACAATTATAATTCTGTCGAGTTGAAGCTGGCACAAGATAGAGACAATTTTTTAAATAAATAAAACATAAATTTTTTTATAAAAGTACACTATTTCTGGTCGCATAAGCTTCTGTAAAATATAATAAATAAAGCCGTAAAATATAGTAATAAAAGTCATTACCTTATTTTCACAACTAGACCAAAATTCAATGTCAAGGAAGTAGTATTTGAATAAAAAAATTAATAAATAAAAATAAAATCATGAGTAAAAATAGAAGGAAGAAACCTTTACCAATATAAAACACAAAATTAGTTAGCACCAGTCCCTCCCAAGCAAAATTACTAATATAGCAGTCCATTGCTTTAGCTTGTAAGTTAGAAGACTTAAAGGTAGAACATATAGACAATTCAATTATGCAGGAAATAACTGGAAAAGTAGAATAATGAATCAAATATTCATCAAAAAGTGCATACCACTAATAACTATATTCTAAAATTAAAAAAATATCAATCTGCTTTTTTAAAAGCACTGGGAGCAATGTTAAACACACTAATAGGGAAGTCTATATCTTTGCATCTTTGAGATTTTTTTTATCCTAATTTAAAATGTTTTTCATTTTACTTTGTAGTACTTATTTCTATAAAATTTTTCCAGCCACGTTTAGGTTGAAATTTTTTTTTCCTTTCCCAGTAATTTCATCACAAAAAGCAACTGTCACAATATTCTACATGAAGGACACTCTGTAGGTTGATCTGGCATTGAGAAAATGTTCGAAACTGTCAACTTGCCTGAGGGTTTGCAATGTAAATGTTCCTCAATAAACTGACATGGGCATGTCAGAGAAGCGCAATGACGACCACCTGCTGCGGGAGGACTAACTAAGTGACCCCTAACTCTATCTCGTCCCCAACGTGATATATATCGTAAGTATAGTAAGGTGGCTCTCTCCTAGAAACAGAAAAAAATATATATTTATATTAGCAGCCAACCTTAATAAGCGAATTGTTATTATGAGCATGCCAAGTGCTGTTAGTGCATCATTTTTTATAGTACTGATATTTTATTCTGAGAAGTGGCAATAAGTGGATCAAAAATGTTCTAATAGTAATTATTTTTAAGTAACACCATTACATAATGTAACACGACAATATTGTAAATACGGCAATGATATGTTTTTTAAATTGTATGGAAAAAATTGTTGTGGAATTTAATTGCAAATGTTACTCATTTTTAACCAAAGGCTAATCAAAATATATACAGGGTGTACTGGTTTATATACTGGTGTACAGAACCATTAACGTAATAAGCAAAAAAACAAATGAAGATTTTTCATTAAATGGACCCTAAGACACATATATGGAAAACCAATATCCTTCAAATCCTGCTAGAATTCTTTTATGTACCAACTGTTGAATTTTTTTAATATTAAATCTAATTACACTACATTACTGACAAAAATGCCCTTGCAATTTCTATATACAGGGTGTCCCATTCATGTTTCAAAAAAACTTGTGGCAACTTTCTCATGGGAAAATAATGGGGGTAGTTCATGTAACATTAGACGCCCTGTTTTCGATATACAGTGTGTTGAAGTTGTTACTTTCCAAATAGTTTTGCGTAATTATCTTTAAATCGGTTAAAGATAAAAATGTCAAAATTTGTACATGAGTAAACATTAACTGTGCGTTAAGAATAATGTGCAAACGGTTCCTTTCTGAAAAGCAGTGTCGTCGATACAGGTAATTGAAGGGGTACAATCGAAGAAAAAATATGTTAAAAGTCAAAATTTATTACATTTCTAAACGGTTTTGTAAACTCCAAAGGATACTACAAAAAAAAGGTGTACTTGTCGAAATTCGGTAGCATGTACCATTTTCGAGAAAAATGAAGTTGAATTTTTTTTGCTCACACAAAGCAGCACAAGAACATTAACAAAATATTAAATTGAAAGAGGACCTTACCATTGAGAGAGCTGAAGACATTTAGCTACCAACAGTATTCGCATTTAAGACTATAATTTTAATTTCTTATATATCACATGAAACAGTTAAATTGTAAAACATTTAACTAAAAAAAAAAAAATTAAAATTTATTATGTCTCAGTTTGTTGTAAACTAACATATAAAAAAGTAAATCAAAATAAACAGATTATGGTAATTAATTATCTATTAATTACTAACTTTAGATTTTGTAGACTACTGCACTACCATTAGTAAAATAAACAATTGTTGTATGGACTGAATTGTTGATAGACATGAATGCTTAAAAAAAGTGATAAAAACAGAAAAATATTAGGAGACTCGGAGACATACAAAACAAAACAGTTGTGCAATCAAATAAATGTGAAACTCGAAATAATACAGTAAATACTGATATTGTCCCACATTTCCTTCTATGCCAACTTCATTTTTCTCGAAAATGGTACGTGCTACCGAATTTCAACAACTATACCTTTTTTTTTAGTATGTTTTAGAGTTTACAGAACCGTTTAGAAATGTAATAAATTTTGACATTTAACATATTTTTTTTCGATTGTATCCCTCAAATTACATGTGTCGGCAAAACTGCTTTTCAGAAAGAAATCGTTTGCACATTATTTTTAACGCGCAGTCGATGTTTGCTTGTGTACAAATTTTGACATTTTTATCTTTAACTGATTTAAAGATAATTAAGGAAAACCATTTGGAAAGTAACAACTTCAACACGCTGTATCTCAAAAACAGGGCGTCTAAGAAAAAACTTTACATGAACTACCCATGAGGACATGCACACAAGTTTTTTTGAAACATGAACAGGACACCCTGTATATTTAAATATATATCAGTTTTTTCGTATATACTTAGTAATTTAAAGTATTTTATTTTTTATATTGTTTTTCTCAATTAATGTAACATTATAGCCACCAAGACTAATCGCCTATATGAGAAGGGTAATCATTTGTGAAATCAAGTATGCACTATTGATGAATTTGAGAATTCTCTTTTTAATGATTACCCCCTCGAGAATATACAGGGTGTTAGTAGTTTGACTGCCTTAATTGTAACAGACGATGTAATACATTAAAATAAACAAAAAAAACTTATACGACATGTGTCCTAAACTCAACCGTTTCCGAGAAAAAAATTATCAAAATCTCCAACTTGATGTACAAAAGTTCGATTAATTAAGGAATACTGACATAACTGTGTCCATAAAATACAATGTTTATCACTTTTTTGAACTTCTTTATGCTTAATTCTAAAAAATAATTAGCATTGTAATCAAATTAAAATTCTATAAAATTCATATCGAGCAATGTGATATGGCGCGGCGGTTAACACGAGGTACTAAGCAGTCCAGCAACCAGCAATATGCAATTCAGTTGGTATCTGGAATTCGACCGTGATGGAGTGTTTTTTGCGTACCACTTCCTTTCCTTGAGGTGTTTCTCCTTGCTTTTTTAAAATGTTTACCATACGTAATAATTTTCCAGCAAGTGCGCAAAAATTGGATTCGAAGGTGTCATATGTGCACATGTTGTAGTTTGTTTTGTATTTGTATTTTGCTTTTTGGTAAGTGCCTAAATTATTTTTAGTCTGATTATTTGGATGATATGAATCTTTGGGTATTTTAATTACATATTTTTCAAATTCATAATTTGATTAAAAGTTAAGTTCCTGTTTTAAGAGATTCATAATTACTAAATTTCGAGATAAAATTTATGCAAAACACTATTTTCATACTATAAAATCGATACATTTTATTATTTTATTTATTTAGAAACTGAAAAACAATTGTCTTAAAATTTACTAAATGATTGACAATAATAGTTCTTTACATTTTTTCCATAGGACAAGTCTGCTGCGTGCACACGTGGTACACATCAGTTGTGTAGCGTTAGGTTAAGTGCTGTTGTCACGTTCTGATGAAACTCCCCAATGTTAATGTTACGGCCCCTGTAATATACAACTTTTTTATTCATTTATCATTACTCTATCTTATGTTGAAGTAATGGCAGTCAAACTTCTTACATCCTGTATTTACAATTACGTGTTATGATATTCATGCTATATGAACAGTACACTTCAAAGTGAGCAACTAATTTATTTTGCACATAACGAACAGTTTTCAATATATGCAAGTTAAGAAAAATTTTTAAATCAACAGTGTTTTTATTGAATTTTTATGAAACTAATCTATTACCATTCTTTGACATTATTACATCTAGAACAAGATGATGACACAATTTATCATAGGATTTGTAAATGGTATCTTAATCTCCAAGATCAAAACTCTGTTTACAAAAATAGTAGGTACTTTTAACACTCACAAAAAAAATATTTGGAGTACTGAAAATCCACATACATTATGCCAAAAAAGTATCTAGAATTTGTCAATAAAACATGATATATTCAATTAATCATCAAAATTTACTTAAAATATGCTCCATTTGAAACAATACACTTTTTCCAACAAAAAACCCATGTGTCAAAGCACTTTTTAAATGTACATATATTCCAGTATGGATTTCAACTCTCAGTGATTTTTGTTTTATGGCTTCTATCGATGTGAAACGTGTTCCACGAAGTGGTAAATTGAGTTTGGGAAAGAGGAAAACTTAGCAGGGACCATATCTGCTGAATACAGTGGCAGCTCGATGACATTCGTTGAGCCTTTGGTAAAAAATTCATTCACAATTATTATTCAAACTTCGCGTCAGAGTAGAATACAGTGCTACCAATTTTCCATCAAAAAAGCAGAACTTTTAAATGACAAATTCCAGATATTTTTTTGGCAGAATGTACACATGAAATTAATTTACACATTGTGTGCCTTTAAATAGGAGTCAGTTTTTTAGGGGCACGTATTCTCCTGAATACGAATCTGAAATTCTTTTTTTTTTTTAATCAAATAGTCGTTATCATTAGAATTTTTAAATTGCACTTTTAAGTTTGTGTACCCTGCCGCTGTAATATTCATGTATTTATAACAAGTCTGTTGGCAATCTACAATGCAAGTGAGGGAGATAGTGCTGGTTAACGTCAACAGTGACGAAGCAAGAAGTAACGAGCACCAAAGAGCATTGTGAACGACTAAAGTGCGCCGTTATTTGAGGTTACACCAGCTTGTCCAGCTGGTGGGTACCAAAATTACTAAAACGGTTAAAAAAAATAAGTTTTTACGACGGAATTTGAATTTGATACGTGTTTCTAAAGATCAAAGGAAGCCTCTGTATAAACATGACCCCCACTCAAAGTTACACCCTGTATGTATGGTGTATATCAGGAGTGGTCAAACTAGTTCCTACTGCCCACTAGTGGGAGATTCAAGTTTTCATGGTGGATGGTTGAGGTTTCATGATGATCGTTACATGCAAATATGTGGAAGATGATATTCAATTCATTGATGCCTTTCCCTACCTCATACCTTTTAGAATCAGGTTTTGTGGGGTTAATCATATTATGACCGGGGAATATTTCTGTGACATGCCTTTGTTCTTCACAAACATTGAACCGTATATTAAATATTTAGTTTCGTAGCAACAGTGTCAAAGTTTTCATAAATAATTAAAGGTAATTTCAACACAAGTTTTTATATTTATTTTTTTTTTTTTTCAATTTAAGCAGCTGAACAGACTGAATGCAGAAAATTATTAACATTTTTTACAAAAACAGCTTCTAGAAATTTTGGAGGACGCATCTCTTAATATCATCATCAATATAATGGTATTTATGCATGATATTGGTGGTTTCCTTTTCGCAATAAATGTTGACAATACTTTTTTTTACCGCTGGATAGATAGAGATCTCATTCATCAGATCTAAAGGTAAAATTAGGAATTATCATTAAATTTTATGGCATATTTGCTGTAGGTTTAATGATTATTCATAAAATTTTCCATTCTAAATTGAAAACTATTTGAAACTATTTGTCCAAATGCAAAACCTTTTGCTTGCACTACAAGTGTA